ATGGACGAGGACAGTTGAATGAATCTAAGGTTAAGTGATGTCGCACCTTCGGATCGATTAGAAACGTGTGAATACAATACACTATGGCTATACGTTTCACTGCAACTGCCCACAACACAACATCTAAAACCTCTCTCTCATAAAAAAAATAAAATAGACAAAAAAAATGAAAAAACGCCGACCGAAAAATGTATATTGTTTAAAAGTATACTGAACAACCAGTGTTATTACGGCTCAGGGGTATGACTTCCTCTCACATTTTGTCATTTGGTGGCGCACTTTCGGCGAGAGTCGGAAATCCGGAAACAGTCGACCGTTTCACGATAGGTGGGCGTGGCTACAACATGAGAAATATACCAAATTTACTTGGATACAAGTAATCATTTTCAGCAAAAAAATCAATAACTACCCTTTTCAGTGGGACACAGATCTAAAATGGGAAACGTGAGGGTGGGCATTGCACAGGCACTTTAACACATAAAAAAAAGAATAAAATACATTTCCACACTGCACTCGTGTTGGGGGAATCTTATAAACCATGTATGTGTATATAGATGTCCCATCCATTCATCATTGTCTTTTTTTTTCCGTAGTTTAATTTGTGGTGTTTGAAAACACTGGTAAATAATTAATAATAAAGATCAATAATAGTATATTTTTCTTACAGCTGTGGCCACCGGGAATTGTAATATTTGATGGTGTTGAGGCTGATGATAATGACATTGATACTTCATCGACTGAACTAATTTATAGCTATGAGGTAAAATATATAAAGGAGTGATAGCTGATTTTCCGTTAACTCTGAGATCTTGCATAATGTGTGAATGGTGTGAACAAACATCTGCTGCAAAATTCAAATGATTTGATTTTGAACGTGAATTTTTGATTTGATTTTGAACTTGAATAGTTCAATGTTAAAATGCCAAGCTTTCAGAGGAATATGGCATTGAGATGCACTTATTTCGGCAAAATTGACCTTCATCAAATCTGTATAGCATATATTCAAATCTCGTGCAATGCTATGACCTTGTTTGTGCTGTCCTGTTCATGTTCACTGATAACATAGGTTCTTTCAGTTAATGGAAAATGATCTATTAAATCTGTATTTTTTGATAGATTTGTTAAATAAACTCCGGGGTACCAAATGAATGTATAGACTGCACATGTGTATAGTTGACTGGAACATCAATTTGTGTTCAAACATGTCATCGTCTTTTTCACAGACCTTTAATACTCAAAACTTTGACAATTAAGCTACATTTTGTTATTGTCTGCCTCTGGTAAATATTCAGTCATTTTACTGAAAATGCAGATAATGGTCTTTAAAATATTCTTTATATAGTATACAAAATGTATATATTGTTGGGTGTAATGCTTTCAGTGTACGGACTTAGTCCAAAAACTGATGTGCATGCTTTTGATCGTTCATCAGTCTGTCCACCATCCTTCAGTCTGTCAGGTCTGTCTGGACCTTGGATATGCATCTTTATAGTCAATCTTATTCATATTCTTCCTATATTTTTTTTTTTTTATTTAAACAATATTTTTATTTTGTTTCAATAATGGACATACAACACAAAATATTACATAACATAATGGAAAAAAGAAGGAAAAATAAAACTAAGAAGAAAAAATAAAAAAAAAATGATCTGGTATAACATCTAAATTTACCCATTATCTAACCAATTAGTTAATGGTTCCCATTTCTGATAATGGATAAGCTCTTTGTTTTTGTTTATTGCGATTTGTAGTTCAATATTTCTATTTTCCCTGATCCAACTTTTATATGCGTATTTTGTTGGATGAACCTTTTGAACCCTACATGTATTTACATATTTTTTAAATAATAAAATAAAATGATTTAATAATATATTTTCCGGTTCACATAGACCTATAATAATATTTTTGACATTACAAACCAAATTGGCAATAAGTTTGCAATCACTTTGCAACAGTCTCCACAGTCTCTTTACAACAATACAGTTAACAAATAGGTGTTCTAATGTTTCTTCTTCTTTTTCACAAAAAGAACAGTGGGGGGAATTGATTATTTTCCATTTATACAGTTTTACATTAGTTGTTAAAACTCTGTGTAGAATTTTGTATTGGAATGCTCTAAGATCTGTGGAGATTGTTGTCTTGAAAGGTAGTTTGAAAATCCTTCCTATATACAACATATGTCTTAGGACACACATGCATGTCCATTTATTTCATGATCAGTAATTGTTTGACAATCAAATTCAAGAAGGCCGATTAGTGGCCATTTTAATGTTAAAAATAAATCAAAATCAAGAAGTTCAGCCACAACAAATGCAGATCTCAATCATACATAGAGAGCTATTGTCTATCTTTGTACATAGATTGAACATGTATATAACAGGATTTTTTTCAGACTGGAATCAAAATATCCATATGCAAATGGTTCTGACATACACAGATTGCAATTAAACTTTACATCTAAAATTATGCACTTAACATTTGTTTCATGTTCTGATTCATTCCATTTTTTCTTTTTGAATCAACAGGGACTCTGCCATGACATATGATTTGTTTTTAGAAAGTAAAATTTTTTTTATTTTTCCTCCCAGGCAGAAGGTTTTGGTGATTTCGTTTTCACACCTAAAGAAGAATTAATGATTGCTCCAGCTGGCCTAGATTATGAGACTCGGTCTTTCTATAATGTTACTTTATTTGTTAAGGTAAAGTGCCATTTATTTTTGCATTTTCAAATTGTCCAACTCTGTTATATTTAAAATTACAACTTGATATATATCACGCAATGACTGTATTATAAATTTAGTAATTTTACTAATGCATGTAAAGTCAAAAATACTTCTTATTTTGTCTGCATATACATTTATACAGGTATATCAAACCTGTGTATAATGACCACCCAAAATTGTCTTGTATAAACAGGTGCAAAGGTTATATATACATGTATATATAAAGGTGGTCACTATGGGCAGGTGGCATTTATATAAAGGTGGTCACTTTAGGCAGGTGCATGGTCTTTATATAAAGGTGGTCACCATGGGCAGGTGGTCACTATAGGCATGTGGTATTTATATAAAGGTGGTCACTATAGGCAGATGGTATTTATATAAAGGTGGTCAGTGTAGGCAGGTGGTCTTTATATAAAGGTGGTCACCATGGGCAGGTGGTCATTATAGGCAGGTGGTATTTATATAAACGTGGTCACTATGGGCAGGTGGTATTTATATAAAGGTGGTCACTATAGGCAGGTGGTATTTATATAAAGGTGGTCACTATAGGCAGGTGGTATTTATATAAAGGTGGTTACTATAGGCAGGTGATATTTATATAAAGGTGGTCACTATAGGCAGGTGGTATTTATATAAAGGTGGTCACTATAGGCAGGTGGTATATATATAAAGTGGTCACTATAGGCAGGTAGTCTTTATATAAAGGTGGTCACTATAGGCAGGTGATATTTATATAAAGGTGGTCACTATAGGCAGGTGATATTTATATAAAGTGGTCACTATAGGCAGGTGATATTTATATAAAGTGGTCACTATAGGCAGGTGATATTTATATAAAGTGGTCACTATAGGCAGGTAGTCTTTATATAAAGGTGGTCACTGACACAGATTTAAATACATTTTGTTTCTAGGATGATTCTGATAATTCTACACCAAGAACCGGCATTTCATATCTGTTCATTAATGTGCTTGATGGTGATGATCAGAACCCAGTCTTTGGCAGCACACATTACTCTGCCACAGTCATTGAGGAAGTGTCTGGTGTCACTTTAGATGTGAATCCTCCTATCTATGCATATGATCCTGACTTTGGACTCAATGAGACAATAATATATAGTTTTGCTAGTAAGTTATACTGTTATGAATATGGCGATGCTGCTTGCATATATTATTAATAATGTAACTAGTATTTTCTCTATTGAAAGTACGATTCCAATAAATACAAACCACAATTGTATTTAATATTTATTTCATAATTTTAACCATGGACACATCCTTTTCATTTTGTAAGTGCAAATTTTACAAATAGAACAAATACAGTACAATGGTATTTGTGTTTTTTGGAGATGTGAGGTTACATCATTGTTTGGTTTGGGGGATGAAGTTTGGGTTGGATCATAAAAATTATCACATAAACTTCAAAGTCATAATTCATGAAAAAACAATTGATTTACAATAGATCAATCACTATGAGAGCTACAAATTTATCGCAATTCAAAAGTGTCATATTATTATTGAAGTGGATATGTGTCATCAACTTTTTATTTTATGTATTTTGTAAAAATATGTTAAAATAATGGGACAGTGAGTGTCAGCCACTTTTGCAAAATTTTGTCTTTTTGTTTGCTGTATCATATCATGAAAATTAAGTTGTTTAAAATATTTTTGTTTTGTTTAAAAACTTTTTTTCCATAGATCCACAAAATTTGTTAGATTATGAGAAACTTGAATCAGATAATTTCCGAATAAACACAACTACAGGAGAAATAACTATCATCCATGCTGTTGATAAGGAAAACCAAACTGATGACATTTTCATTCGAGTCAGAGTAAGTCAAACCTGATTGTAATTATATATGCACATTTCATTTATATTTCACTTATTTATCTTTGAGTTTCAGTGAATAATGGTCAAATCAGTTTCTAATAATTCTGTTTTTTTCTAGGCGGCCCAGAAAGACCAACCTGCATATCGATACAACTTTATTCTGGTGGTCGTTTCTGTGATTGATGTGAACGACAATGCACCTGTCATGGGTATGTCAAATTACACAGGAATCATAACAGAAGACTCTCCTATTGGTGCATTTGTGTCAGAGTTTGGCGCTACTGATAATGACCAGGTGAGTAATAATTCTGATTCTTTTTAATGCATTAATACATGAAAGTTTCTTTCAGATTAAATAAGTTAATTCATTCTAATTCTGAAATTCATGGTAACTGTATTATTACATCATCCATTTATTCGACTATCTAGTTGTTTTTTCAGGAATAATCATTATTTAATCATCATTTATATACAAAAAATGAATACCAAAGTAGTCTGTCTTATGATTGTTTCTCTTGATAGATGAGGCATGAAGCCATGATACTTGATCAGAACTTGCATGATGTATCTTGTAAAGTCTCGCTTTGATGCGTATTATGAATTTGCTGACAACTCGAAACATGTTGCACTATTTTGAGCGTTTTACTCATCAAAATTGATTTGACTTGCCAATTCATGACAAATACTGTTGTAATATTTAATCTCATAAAATCATGATT